GGGCGGCTGTCCCGGCGCCACGGACGCCCCACGGCAGCGCCCCGGCTCCGGACCTGCTCGCCGGGCCTGCGCAGGCTGTTCCTAACAGCCACGAGCTCAGGCACATTTCCTCTGGGAAACTTCCTATCTGCTTTCTTTCCAAACCACGCAAGTATAAATATTGCTCCAGTGTTTGACAAGAAGAATTATACAATATGTAACCAGATAGAGCAATAACACATATGGTTTCAAAGTTTGCCTTGTATCTTGTTAATGTTTTGAGGTAAAACTCACAAAGTGGCATTTCACGCTATTATTCATGCAAAGAGCAGTCATGCTTGTAGCTGGTAACAATACAACTCTAATGAACGCGAACGGGAGCGCAGTGATTTCACGCCGCACTGAGTTTGTTCTCCGGAGCCCGGGCAGCGGCCGCAGCAGAGCCCGCACCGTGGTGGTGCACAGGGCTCCTGACCCGCCGCGCTCCAAAGCCCTCTTGAATAAAACGGAATTTAAAGCAAGAACTAACATTTCCCATCTTGCCTCGCACCAAACTCCACTCCACGGGCACAAAAGCAGAGGGAGCAGGGTCAGGCACACGAGACACAACTAGTCTCGTTTCAGGAAACCGATGGCTTCAACCACTTGCAAAAAGTTTCCGTAGTTCAGCCGGGTTCCGCAAAATGAGCCTTTTGTAGCAGCAAAAAGACAGTTATAAAAGCGCTTGAAACAGCAGTAACTCCCCAAACTCCTAATTCAAGCCAAAGAACTGCAGAATATGGCTCTTTCCTGCAAAGTATGCAGAACCCCACAAACCTGTATTTTATATATTTTTTCAGACTGTTTTTCAGCTGTCAACTTGCACTGCCTGTGTTCCTGGCTAAAGCTTCCCCCCAAACCCTCTTTTCTCTCAGCTTCCAAAGGCTACCTCGGAAGGACAGGGAGAGCAAACGAACCTCAGCAATAACACCAGGGCTGCTGCTCCGACCCGCGCGGACTCCTGCGCTGCGCAGCGAGGGCCGGGACGTCACCTCGGCCGCCCCGGCAGGGCCCTGCGCAAGGCCCCGCTCCAGCCGTCGCGGGGCGCAGGGGCCGTGTCCCTGCGTGGGCCGGGGAGAACCGACACGTTCAGGCCCTAAAACCCAACTAAACAAACCTTGCAGGAGAACCCAGAGTCCACATTCACTTACTCTGTGTTTTAGGGAAAATACTGAAAGACAGCATTAATTATCCTTAAATACCAACAGTCAAGTACACACACACATCTGAGTGTACTGCAGAGGCTCTCACATTTCTCTGATCTAGTTAGAAATCTAGTTTTGCAGATTTTCTTTGGAAAATTCTTACAAGAAAGGCCAGAATTAACCTGCCAGCGCGAGTGTTTACGGAGCCCTGCGGCACCGGCCCCCGGAGACCCTGGTCCAACCGCGAGCACAAATCCCACGCGGGCAGGACCAATTTACAGGGCAGCAACAAAGAAATTTAAGCTGCAATTTCAAAACATCACTTCTACAGGGAGTATTAAGCCATACAAAATGTTTATTAAGAAACTGGTCATACATTTTATATGAGAATATTCAAAAAGAACCATTTCATGAATATTTTGTAACCTCGGGAAATAACACCTAGCCTGCTATTCTTCAGGGCAGAGATGCAGATGAAGATAAAACGTGTTTGTTATTCTGCTGCTCAGTGCAGACCTGTTTCCCACAAGGGGAGGCCGCGCAGCGCCGTAACGCGTGTCCCTGTGCTCCCCCCGTGGGGCAGCCCTGATCACTGGTGTTTTTTTCTGAAAACACGTAAGTTTTCAAAAACACTGAACAGATCAATTCCTTAAAAAGACTACAAGAGAACACAATTAACACGCGACAAATATGTATTCTTGGCACTTCATTAAATTGCCTTAACTCACCTTAGAGAGCAATGCAAGGAACTCCAAGAACACTGTAATATTGTGCATTTGTACAATAAGAGCTTGCACGGGAAGGCACTGCAGAGAGGCAAGGCTTTGCAAGACACGGTCTTGACAGGGTCTCTTCAAGGTCCAGGCTTCATGGGGCGCAAGACTGAGCTCGAGGCAGCGGATTCAATGGAGAACTTCAGGATGAGTGTGAAGAAAACACCTCCATTTAGCTTCCACCAAAGGAGGTTTTGAGGGAAAGGGTTAAGCAGCGTGTTCTCCGTGCTGCACTTCAAAGGTAGCTTTATTCACATCTTGCTCAGCTGCCAAGCGCAGACCTCTCCAGAGCTCCCTGTTCCACTGTCGATGTCCTAAAAAGCCTTTTAATGCTGCCTTCTAATCACACCCTCAAGCATGTGCGCCATTATCACTTATTCTTTCAAAATCAGAACTAAAAGCAAAACTGATTACTGCAAGAAATCTGTCTCCTTGAACAGGAATTGATTCAGAGTATCTCACTTAAAAGAAAGGACAGAAAATTAAAGGGATACTGTTATGGTTAATATCTTTAAAAATGTTTAATTTGTCTTCCTTCATGGAAGCTTCAAATTCAAACTGCTTTCCAAATC